GAATACAGTTATCTAGATCCCCCAATGATAGATTTGGAATAATTTCAGCAATAGTATCCGGGAGTATAAGTATGTTACATGTATGCATATTGTATATATCAATCATATGGATTTTATTAAGTGAGACTTTTTATTTAATAGATAACCAATGGAGCTAACCGAAAAAATATATATGGCAGATGGGTAGGTCAACTCGCTTTCCCTACATTTGATAAATAAAAAATCTCGGAATGAAATTAATAGAATTAGCTCATCGTTTATTGGTGAGTCAAAGACTCGATGCTCGGCATCATCATAATCTTATATATGCGATCAGACATGTTATAACCCTTTGCTAAAAATTTTTTATTACGATCCTTAAATTTCATGGGTGATATGGCGGGGGTGGATCACGCTTAGCATGTATTTCATTTATAGTCAGCAATTTTACTAAACCTTCTAATGGAAGATATTTTCCGTATTCTTCTGCTACCAGCTGATTTTTGGAATTTAATCCTGCGATGAAAATATTCTTGAGAAGTTTCTCCTTTATAGAAAGATTAGCTTGTGTCGATACTGGGATTTTTTTATCAGTCATGTTTGCTTCGCAGTTATAAGGTTGTTATATCCCAGTGTGAAAAAAAATGCGTAGTTTATTGCTTCGCAGCCACAGGCTATAAATGCTCAACGTGTTTTACCAACATCCAAAATTCTATCAATCGTTAACTGATCACTCGTTACATTAATCTCTAGGCTTGTTTGATCAATTCAGGTAAATCATCCCAATCTTCTAATTCTGCTAAATCCCAATCTTCTATACTATCCCAGGGGATTGCGTTATTTTTTATTTGCTGTATATTAAATTTAACGATCTCCTTTTCTGATTTACTTATCATTCCATTAACAAGCATATACTTTTCAATCTCTACCTGTTTTTTAGCACTTTTGAATTGCTTACCCCAATAATTATTTGCTATACCAAATTCGATATATCCTTGTATTACCTCATCATCCGAATATTTTTCTTGTGCTTCACTTATTTTTTTATCTCTTTCAAGTCCTAATTTATAGCCTTTTAACACTTGTATCTCCCATCTTTTTCGGAGTTCGTGCTGAATTTCTTTGTACCAAGTGCGATTTATCCAACAGAATTTGTTGAGATCTTCCAATGAAAGTTTTTGAACGATTTCAGCAATAGTATCCGGAATAATAAGTGGATTATATGTATGCATATTGTATATCTCAAATGTGTGGATTTTATTAACTAAGACTTTTTATTTAATTGTTATATTTATTATCGTTCGATCATAAAAAATAGATATATGTGTCTCCAACACTAGCTTCGATATACATTACAATAAGTAGAATGATTTAGTGAGATATTTATTCTTCTGGAATTTCGCAATCACCATATAAATATGTCGTTTCCATATCTTGAGCTATCCACAATTTCGTATCTAGTAGATTAACACTTCTCTTTGTTTGTTTTATCCTGTACATTCGATGCCTATAACTTCGGAGGAATTGAGCAGTTCGTGGCTTATCCTCTTTCCCTTCTAAAACACAGTCCTCGAATATTTTATGGGTAAGCTCTTTTTTGATAAGAGATTTTTTAAGACCCTTTGCTTTTATCAAATTTTTTCGTGAATTTTCACACACAACACTATAGCATTTTGCTCTAACTCCTGCGTAGGCAATAGCTCGATCCCTTCCATTTTCATCCTTCCACTTACCTATAACTTTTGTATTTTTTAAGACTCGCTTACCTTCATCGTTGATTATCCACTGATCTTCTGGAAGGTTCTTTATAAGCCAATGGTCTTCAGGATAAACGCTAAAATCAAATAAATCACAATTGTCTATCATGTCCTGATAAATATTTTCAGTCTCAATTTCTATGATTAAAGAATCTGTATCAGTATATAGGAGTTTTA